TTTTGCAACACACGCCACTTTGCAGCAGAAGCCACCTTGCAGCAGAAACCACCTTGCAACATAAACCACTTTGCAAAAGACACCAGTTTGAAACATAAACCACTTTGCAACAGAAACCACTCTGCAACATAAACCACTTTGCAACAGAATCCATCTTGCAACAGACACCACTTTGCAGCAGAAACCACACTGCAGCAGAAACAACTCTCCAATATAAACCACTTTGCAACAGAAACCACTTTGCAACAGAAACCACTTTGCAACAGGCACTACCTTGCAACAGGCACTACCTTGCAACAGACACTACTTTGCAACGCACACAACTTTGCAGCAGAAACCATTTCGCAGCACACACCGCTTTGCAGCACACATCGCTTTGCAACACATGTCGCTTTGCAGCAGATACTTTGCAACAGACATCACTTTGCAATAGAAAGCACTTTGCAACAGAAACCACCTTGCAACAGGTACCACTTTGTAGCAGAAACAATTTTGCAACACACGCCACTTTGCAGCAGAAACCACTCCGCAGCAGATACTTTGCAACACACAACACTTTGCAACAGAAGCCACTTTCCAGCAGAAACCACACTGCAACATAAACTGCTTTGCAACAGACACCAGTTTGAAACATAAACCACTTTGCAACATAAACCACTTCGCAACAGAAACCACTTTGCAACAGGCACCAGTTTGCAACAGAAATCATTTTGGAAAAGAAGCCACTTTGCAACATAAACCACTTTGTAACAGACACCAGTTTGAAACATAAAACACTTTGCAACATAAACCACTTTGCAACAGAAATCACTCCGCAACAGAAACCACTTTGCAGCAGAAACCACTCTGCAACATAATCCACTTTGTAACAGAAACCACCTTGCAATAGACACCACTTTGCAGCAGAAACTATTTTGCAACACACACCACTTTGCAGCAGAAACCACTCTGCAGCAGAAACAACTGCGCAACATAAACCACTTTGCAACAGAAACTACTTTGCAACAGAAACCACTTTGCAACAGAAACTATTCTGCAATAGACACCAGTCTGCAGCAGAAATCACTTTGCAGCAGAAACCACTCTGCAGCAGACACCGCTTTGCAGCACACATCGCTTTGCAGCATATGCCTTGCAACAAACATCACTTTGCAATAGAAACCACTTTGCAACAGAAACCGCTATGTAAAAGAAACCACTTTGCAAAAGAAACCGCCTTGCACCAGAAACCACTTTGCAATAGACACTACTTAGCAGCAGAAACCAATTCGTAGCAGATACTTTGCAACACACGCCACTTTGCAACAGAAGCCACTTTGCAGCAGAAACCACCTTGCAACATAAACCACTTTGCAACAGAATCCACCTTGTAACCGACACCACTTTGCAGCAGAATCCACACTGCAGCAGAAACAACTCTCCAATATAAACCACTTT